TACGAACAAAATCTCTAGAAACAGGATATAACAAGCCCCCCCCCCCCTTTTTTTGAATGGCATCTCATGTAACATGAGCCTAGACTGGCCTTACACTTCTAGTCCTCCTCCTTCCACTTCTAGAGTGCTGGGGTTACCTGTGTGCTCCACCACACCCGTTGTCTACTCAAATTATTTTAACAAAAATGTTACTAATATTTACCATATGCAAAGCTCTGTGAAATATAAAAGGATTCAGAAATAGAGCAGAGGCAGTACAGGTGATGATGAAAATAAGTATTATGCATGTTCTCTGGTAGTACTGAGGCAGGACCAAAGAGAAGGAGATGCCGAGAGTGCTGAGTATGAACTGAAACAGTCTCAAAATCTGAAGCGAAGGTATTGATTTTGTCACTTTGTGCCCTGTTACTCTTCTGTCCACAAACTGTATTCAGGAATTTCCCTTTCTCTTTCTTGCTGTTTTGCATCATTCAGCTTCCCACTCAGGAGCTAACTGACACCTGCTTTATGCTTTGAACCGGCTAAATTTTGTGGGGCATATATGAATGTGAATTAGCTTCAGTTTTTCCCTCACAGCCCTTCTGAAAGAATTTTGTTTTGTTTTGTTTGTTGTTGTTGTTTTTCGAGACAGGGTTTCTCTGTGTACCCTCAGCTATCCTAGACTTGCTTTGTAGACCAAGTTGAGCTCGAACCTCACATAGATTCACCTGCCTCTGTCTTCCTCAGTGCTAGGATTACAGACATGTGCCACCACTACGGCCTGAAAGATTTTTTTAAAATGTGTACCTCTGCACATTTTTAAGTTGGCATCTAAAATGTTTTCTTACATGTTAAGTAATTGTAAAGAATCTCAATTTCAGTATAATTTGGTTAAGATTTTAAAATACTGTTGGAATTGTATCCAGTAAAATCTAAAAATTGTCACGTTTAAAGATATAAAAGCTCTACGTTGACATGGTTTCATTTTTTTCTGTTCAAGCAATTTGTAGTATTCTCTAACCCTTCACATTAGATTCTGTCCTAATTTAGTATACTTTTGTGCTCTTAAGGCTTCTTTTTATGCATTATGTATCTGCAAGAAAAAAAACAGAAATGCAAGTTTAAATTTTGAGTTCCAAAATCTTATGACTTCAAACTCTGATGAGTTATTTTTATTTATTTACGGGTTGGGTTTTTTGTTTGTTTGATTGGTTTTGTTTGGTTTGTTTTTTGTTTGTTTGTTTGTTTGTTTTTTCCAGACAGGCTATCTCTGTATAGCTTTGTCTATCCTGGAACTAGCTCTGTAGACCAGAGCTAGTTGTGCACAATGCTAAATTCTCCTAGCAGTAATATGCAACAAGAGCATGGAGTACTGTCAGCTAGGAAAGGTCTCTGAACCTTTTGGTTAAGAATTAGTCACATAGACATGGTTGCCTATTTATGGCTGATCTTAGTCTCCAGCTTCTCAAGAAGCAGGATTGATGCTACATAGCCCCAAACTACTCTATATAACATATTGTTGGTAGCCAGTGCTGATCCCAGATAACCCACAGAACATCCTAAGTGAGGGTTAGTGATGGTCTCTCAGGAGCCAAAGGAAAAGGCCAGCCCTTCCTAGGTAGGGGTGTTCCTTTACAGCATTCTGTGTCAATCCATTATGGAACTCATTCCTATGGTATACCAGAATTATATTGTGATTTGTCATTAAAAAGCACTTTAATGATAAGCTGAAAATTCAGTTAACTTTGTTGAAAGCAAAAAATTGAAAACCGAGAAACATGGAAAGGAGTTTGTTAGTTTATTAGAGCCTACTTAGACATATTTGGGAATATCTTCTTGATGTCCCATAATTTTTGAAGCCTGGGATAATGTGTACTAGAGTCCATATTGGTAAAATGTGAAGGCCTTTTATAAAACAGAGGTTAGGTGCAACAGGGAAAAATTTTGACACATACACATAAGTGGTTCTCTGGCAAATGAGTTTTAAGATTTATTGTATTACTGTGTGCACATGCATGCAAGTTCCTACAGAGGCCAGAAGAGGGCATTGAGTTCTTTGGAACCAGAGTAATAGGTGTTTGTGAGCCACCGGATATGAGTGCTGGAGTCTGCACTTATGACCTCTGCAAGAGTGGCAAGTGGCATTAGTTAAGAATAACTCCTGAGAGCTGCAGAGATGGCTCAGAGGTTAAGAGCACTTGCTGCTCTCCCAAAGATTCTAAGTTCAATTCCCAACAACCACATCATGGCTTACAACCATCTATACTGAGGCCTGGTGGCTTCTGCTGGCCTGCAGGCATACATGCAGGCAGAACACTATATATAATAAATAAGTAAATCTTTAAAAAAAAAAAAAAAAAAAAAAAAAAAAAAAAAAAAAAAAAAAAAAAAGAATAACTACTGAGCCGTTTCTGCAGCCCATAGATTTTTTTTTTTTTTTTTTTTTTAAGAAACAGTGCATATGTGGTAGACAGAACCTGTTTTGCAAGGACCACAACCACAAGTTTCATTAGAGAATGTAGATATTGGATAAACATACTAAAATCTGTACACCTGAAGAAGCTAAGCAAGGAGGAGGACCCTGGGTAGGATGATCAATCCTCACTCAAAAAGGCAAACGAGATGGACATCAGAAAAGGGAGAAAACAGAGACAGGATAGGACAAGAGCCTACCACCGAGGGCTTCTGAAAGACTCTACCCACCTGGGTATTGAAGCAGATCCTGAGACTCATAGCCAAACTTTAGGCAGAGTGCAGGAAATCTTATGAAAGAAGGGAGAGATAGAAAGACCTGGAGGGGACAGGAGCTCCACAAGGAGATTAACAGAACCAAAAAATCTAGGCTCAGGGGTCTTTTCTGAGATTGATAGTCCAACCAAGGACATGGAGATAACCTAGAATCCCTGCACAGATGTAGCCCATGGCAGTTCAGTGTCCAAGTGGGCATCCTAGTAAGGGGAACAGGGGCTGTGTCTGACATAAGTCAGTGGCTGGCTCTTTGATCACCTCCCCCTGGGGTGGGGAGCAGACTTACCAGGCCACAGAGGAAGACAATGCAGCCAGTACTGACCCCAGGCTAGGGGTCAAAGGGAAGGGGAGGAAGACATCCCCTGTCAGTGGACTTGGGGAGGGGCATGGGAGGAGATGCAGGAGGGAGGGTGAGATTGGGAGGGAACAAGGAAAGGGGCTACAGCTGTGATACAAAGTGAATAAACTGTGATGAATAAAAAATAGATTATTTTTTAAGTTCCTGACTAGCAAAAAAAAAAAAAAAAAGACATTTACAAATTTTCATAATCAGATAACGTAGTAAATAATCATTACAGGTATTGGTGAAGAGGACATTATTATTTCTAGATGTTGCAGTCTAGAAAAAAGAAAGATATGATGAGCAAGTTAGAGGTCAGTTAGACCTTGGCTTATGCGTATTTCAGATAGCTGGAGAGAGCACAGGAAGGCATTACAAGCAGAACAAGGGGTTGTGGCCATAAAAGTGTTAGAAGTAGATTTGTATTTGCATTGTCTTCTCCCAGTTCTTTGTTGCCACTTGTAGCTATATTATTTTGGGCAAGTCCTTTGGTGTTTGCTTTTTGAGCACTGGGTTCCTAATCTGAAACATGGGATCAGTTCCTACACCTTAGAGAATTCTTTCTAATACCAAAGTAGATAATGTGTATAGTCCCCAAGAGTCCTAAGTTTTTCAGGCTTTGTATACCTTTCATACCTTTTCTAGGAATGTGAGCATATCTGAACTGCTGTCCTGTATGGATGGTAATCCAGGCTGTTTTCAATTGTGAAAACCTCCTCTGTTTTCCATGTTCTTAGTTATTACTTATCACCTGTTGCTCAGAATACTTCCAGATTCTTTTTCTTTAACTTGTATCACAAAGACTACATTGGAATTAAAGCTTTACTACAGGTTAATAAATGGGAGTCATTTTGGCATCAAATATGATATAGCTATCAGATATGACCAGTTATTTTTGGCCTTGGAGACAGAATTTCTCTGAGTAGCCTTGTTCTAGAACTCTGTGTGTCAAACTCACAGAGACCCTGCTGCCTCTGCTTCCGGAGTGCTGGGATTAAACATGGGCCCAGCCCCAGATATGACCGTACGTATAGAAGGGAGTTCACCTGCTTTCCTCATGCTCGCCTCTAAATCCGCCGCTCCTCTCTCTTGGCCCTCTTCCCTGACACACAATACTTTTAACCTAGTTCTGCCCACCCTCAAAAGAGCCAAAAATTTAAAAGTTAAAAGAAATTAGAAAACTCTTAAGTCTATAGTGAAGACAAGCCTGAGATTGTTAGCTTCAACTGTCCTGACCGCCTTTCTTCTGGAGGACGCTCTCCTGCTGCCGCTGGTGTAGCTTAATGACCCGAGAGGCTCTCTGTAACACAAGCATTTAACCACAGCTACCAAGTGACTGCATGATCTGCTCACCTGCTTTGTTCCCTGCCACACTTACAAACCATGTTGCCCGACAACAAATAGTATTCAGTAATTTTTTTTTCCTGTTTTTTGAGTCAGGGTTTCTCTGTGTAACAAAAGCCCTGGCTGTCCTGAACTCACTTTGTAGATCAGGCTGGACTTGAACTCACATAGATCCACCTGCCTCTGCCTCCCAAGTGCTTGGATTAAAGGTGTGCCCCACTATGCCTGGCATGTTCAGTAATCTTTTGTTAAAAAAAAAAAAGTGCTATCTCATCTGCATGTCTTTGAACACTTACCTTTACAGTGAAAACACCACCAGATAAGGAATGACACAAGAGGTATTAATTAATTAGAAGGGCTTTGCCACAGGTGCGGGGTCACAAACCAAGCTTGCATCTTGTTAGAATGGGTTCCAATAGTCTGTGATTGATTAGGAGGCCAGATACTAGCATTGTTTTTTATTTTAGCTTATCAAAGTTTAGAGTACATATCAGAAAGTACAATTGCCATAGGTATAGTTTGTTAAAATTTCATTGCTTATATATTGAGTGTATTAATAACAGTATATGATTTGCCTATTTTTCTTTAGATAATTTTTATGGTGGGACGAGGATACCTATCTCCAGATCTCAGTAAGGTACGGAGTAACTGTCCAAAAGCCATGAAGAGACTAATGGCAGAGTGCCTCAAAAAGAAAAGAGATGAGAGACCACTCTTTCCCCAAGTAAGAAAATATTCATGATACCCCAAAGTACCAACCAACCTTCATCAGCAGCTTTCTAGCATGATGCGGGGACTGGTGAGGTCCAGTTTGGATTCTACAGACCAGATGAGCAAGCAGGGCAATGACTTCGTTAGGACTTTGCATTTGTCCAGCAGTTCTCACACTTTTAAAAATATGTTATGTTATGTTGTGTTGTGTATGGGTGTTTTACTTGCATGTATATGTGCACCACTTGTATGCCTAGTGCTCACTGAGCCTAGAAGAAAGTCAGATCCCCTGGAGCTGTAGCAGCTGGAGCCATTGTAGGTTCTGGGCGCTGAGCATCTCTTCAGCCCTAGTTCTCAAACATTTGGACCTTTCACATATTTTAAAATAGTTAAAGCCAGGCACAGTGGTGCACACCTGTAATCTCAGCACTCTGGAGGCAGAGGAGGGTGAATCTCTGTGGGTTCCAGGCCAGCCTGGTCTACAAAGTGAGTGAGTTAGTGAAAATAACATTTGAGTCTGTAAATAATGAAAAAAGTGAACAAGAAGAGTAGTTTTGATTTCATTTTTTCTAATTGTTTTTATAAAATTAACATACTTAGATTCTCTGTTTTATACTCATTGTGCTTAAGTATCATATACTATGTTGCCTCTTACAGTTTATTTATAAAAATTCAACTTATACTTTTGACCTGGGGTTATTTTTTAATTATTTATTTATTTTTATTTTATGTGCATTGCCAGTTTTGCCTGAATGTATGTCTGTGTGAGGGTGTCAGATCACCTGGATCAGGAGTTAGAGACAGTTGTGAGCTGCCATATGGGTGCTGAGAATTGAACCAGGATCCTCTGGAAGAGTAGCCAGTGCTCTTAACCAATGAGCCATCTCTCCAGCCCCCAACCTGGCATTATTTTTGATGGTAAAATAAACAGATTCTAAGATTTTTGTTTATGCTAGATTTTTAAATTTTTAAGATTTCATATTATATATTTATATATTATTTTACTATATATTATGTGCTATTCATTCTATTGTTTTTGTAATATTTTTTTTTTTTTTTACTTATAACTATATACTATAATAGGTTCTTACGTCAACTGACCTGGGACTCAGTATGTAGCCTGTGATGGCTTAAAATTCATAGATATCTACCTGCCTCTGCCTCAAGAAATGATGGGATTAAAGGTGTATACCACCATACCTAGTTTGGATCTTCTTTAAAAAAATAGTGTGTTTGTACTTGGATGTGTGTATATGCATGTGTGTGAGAGTACCCAGGAAGGATAGAAGGCATTGGATCTCCTAGAGCCAGAGTTTCAGGTTTGTAATTAGTTTTAAATTTTTACCTACCATTCATTTCAAGGCTGGCACATGACCTAAAATACAAGCAAACACTAACTGTAAGTGGCTTTACTCATTCATGTGTGTATATTAAAACCTGTGTTACTGTGCTAGCTTTTTTTGACTTTTATGCTGATGGGAAAGTACTGGTTTCTCTTTGTTCATTAATTATAATGAAAACAGTATAAAATCTCAGGTAAAAATCTCATAAGTATGATGAGCTCTTAAATTTTTATTTTTAAGATTTTTATTCTATGTTCTGCTTTTTCTTGTTTTCTGTGTTGTTCCCCTCCCCTACCCCTTCCTCCTTTCTTACAGATTCTCGCCTCTATTGAGCTGCTGGCCCGCTCATTGCCAAAAATTCACCGCAGTGCATCAGAACCGTCCTTGAATCGGGCTGGTTTCCAAACAGAAGATTTTAGTCTGTATGCTTGTGCTTCTCCGAAAACACCCATCCAAGCAGGGGGATATGGTGCGTTTCCAGTCCACTGAAACAAACTAAATAAGTGAGACATTGAAGTAAGGTAGCAATAAAAACAAATGAATAGTTTCTTTATAGTTAAACCAACTAGAATAGTCTGTTATTTACAGGTGAGCCAAAGAGTGTTTGTGTTTAAAAACTTAGGCATTGCTTTCCAAATCTTAAAATCATACTGAACATTGATTTTCAACATCAGTATGTTAAAATGGACAAACAGAGGCTTTACTTCCTATTCTGTATTTGTTCTTGGTTATTCCATTTATTAGACCCCAGGCTTCTCTGTTTGCTCATGCAGCTTTTGTTATTAACTGTCACTTGTCATAAGGACTCCAGAGGAAGGCATCCCCCTGCAGATTCACAGGTGGGCAGTACACAGGGGACTAGCCTCTGTTAGCTGTGCAAACTGACAGTAATAGAACCAAAGAATCCTGAATCTAAGTCTTTATATTTTCCTATAGCTGTTTCTTTTTACAATTTAGAAAATGTCGAAGTCCTTTATTCCTTGAAGCAATATATAATTTTTTTAAATGAATTGTGGATATGTGTAGCCAAAAATATCACAGTGGCACATTTGACATAGGTAAAATGACTTGACTTTGGTTTTAGTGAAGAAGTACAAATTAAGGTGTCATACCTGTGTAACAGTCAAATTTCTTTGCAGACGTCTTGCTTTTTATTCTCACTCCCTTCCCCAAAAGAAAACTTTGAAAAATTCTGAGGAACTTTAGGGTTATTTGTTTGTCTGTTTGTTTGTTGTTTGTTTTGTTTTTTAAGTAGTTGGCTGCCAAACAACCAAGTTATGGCTTTCTGAGTCATTGTATTGGGTAATACTTACCTTTTTGATATATGTTACAACAGTCAGTGGTCACTTAGCATTGTACCTCATAAACTTTCTTCCTGATGTTCTTTGTCCAGCAATATCCCCCCCTATGAACCCATGATGAGTGCCTGATGCTCTCTTCTTGCATTCCACAGTGTGAAGTACTTCTAATGTTTACATTTTTTATGTATAGAAATGAGTTTAATGTAACCGTGATGGAGTATAATTTTCCTGTGACTTGGAGAGACTCTAAAAGCAGAAAAGTGGAATCATTGTGGTCTTTAAAAAAAAAAAAAATCCTGCCATCTCTACTTCATAGTCATCTAGAGACAAAGCCTATTGATACTCAGTTACTCGATTTAGACTTGTGATAATGCTTAAATACAGCCCAATGCAAAAATTACGCAACAGACATATCATATTTGCGTACATGTCATCCTCCTTTGAAAACAATAAAGCAGAAAATTGGGAAAACTTTAAATGATAATTGAGTTTGTAAGTACCACAGATGAACTTTTGAAATGCTTTCCTTACTTTCCTTGTTAGATTTCATATAAGGAAACTGCCTATTAAATTATTATAACTTACCTTTTGTCCCTCACTTGGATAAGTTAAGAATGTCATCATAATTTTATATACTGATTCATGATTCTAAAATAAGAGAACATTTCTTTTATTAAAAAAAAAAAAAAAGCTAGGTGGTAGTAGTGCACACCTTTAATCCTAGCACTCAGGGAGGCAGGGGCAGGTGGATCTCTGTGAGTTCAAGACCAGGCTGGTCTACAGAGTGAGTTTTGGGACAGCCAAGGCTACCCAAAGAAACCCTTTCTCAAAACAAACAAACAAACAAAAAAGCCAGTGCAGTGGAATTCAAAGGATCACAAGTTCAGGCAGGCCTGAGCTACATAAAGACCCTGTCTCAGAAAACTTAGGACCGGGGATATAGCTCAGTGGTAGATTACTTTATAGAATGTACAAGTGTTTGTATACTGTTTGATCACCAGCATGGGAAAAGGAAATGAGAAAAAAAAAAGAGAGATAAAACAATGTAATATATTATAAACCATCAAAACTCATGATTTCTAGATCTTTGGTAACAAAAAGATGAGTTTATTGGTAGGTGGTGTTGTATGTAGCTAACAGAATTTGTACAAAATTTACCTGGTCCATAGAGCACTCAAACATTTTAAGCATATAAAACATGGTATATAGAAATTTTTTTTTGTAATGGAGGCTTTCTGTAATCTCCCAGCATACCTGTTTATTAGTGTGTTCCTTTCCTTCCTTGTTCACGGTCTTTCTCCTCAGCACTGCCATGCCCCATATTCTGCCATCTTCATTTGACTCACTCACACTCCATTTTTTTCCTTCCTTCCTTCTTTTCTCCTTTCTTTATTAGCTAGTCAGCATTTGCATTTCTAAGCTCTCTCTGCTGCTCAGAAAATCATGTGCTGTCCCATAGATATTCAAGCATTCCCCCACAGGTTGGATAGTAATTAATTTGAGCCACATTTGGCCCACTGGGGTGTGTAGGTAACAGATTCAGAGAAATAGGATGCACCAGAATCACTTTCCCTTTCTGTGTATTTTTGTTAGTGGTGCTTTTTGATGTTGTTTTGTTTGTTTTGCCAAGTATTCTAGTTTGTTTGGTTTTTTCCATAAAGGATTATACCCTAATGTTTTGTTCTAGGCCTTTTTAATTTTTTTTAAGTTGTGTGATTTTGGGCAAGTTTCCTGACCATTCTGGACTCCAACTTGTTCATCTGTAAAACAGATTCACTTTACAGCCCAGACTGGCCTGGGACTTTTCCTACCACCACCTGCCAAGTGCTGGGAATACAAGTGTGAGTCACAGTGCCTAGCTTCCTAAGTTACTCATTAAGAAGAATTCTTGATGGAAAGAGCATGACTGTAGCCTAGTTAGTTGTATTCAGGTTAGGAAAGCAAACCTTAATTATTAAAACTTAGAGAGCTGAGAGAGATGGTAGTCCTGTAATGCCGCATGAGGAGGGGAAGACAAGAGGATGGCAAGGTCAAGACCACCTTGCTAATCTTCTCAGCATATAAATCTTAGGATTCAGTCCGCCAGTCATTAGCAATCTGCTGTGTATGAGACATGCCAGCATTCCCTAGCAACCAGTCCTAATATTTCTTGGAAGGCAGAAGCAGTCAGAGCTCTGTAGTTCAAGGACAGCCTGGTCTACAAAGCAAGTCCAGGACAGCCAGGGCTCTGTTCCATAGAGCAGTCCTGTCTCAAAAAAGAAAAAAGAGAGGGGGAAAAAAAAAAAGCCAAGTATCTGGGGCCGGCACAATCAATGAGGGCTGTGGTGGCGCATGCCTTTAATCCCAGAAGCCAGCCTGGTCTACAGAGAAAGTTCCAGGACATCCAGGACAGAGAAACCCTGTCTCCAAAACCAAACAAACAAAATCATATATATATATGATTTTGCCAGGCAAGGTAGCAACACACCTGTAATCCCTTTGCTGAGGAGGCAAAGTAAGTAGGAAGATCACTGTGTGTTTGAGGCTGTGAATTTGAGGCTCGAGCTGCAGCATGATAACCAGCTGTAAAATTCCCTGCAGCCTTTTATTTTCTTGATAGAGTTGAACTGTTCTTCAGTGTCATGCACATATACTTGTAGTCTTTTGTGGATTTCAATGACTTGAGGTTTAAACTGATTATGTTACAAGGTTTGTAATATATTTAACTAGTCACCTTTCAGTGAGATTCAAATAAGGCTTTTCTGTCTTGAAGTTCTTTTGAGATAACTTTTTAAAATCAGCTCTTGTCCTCCCTCTACAGGAGAATTTGCAGCCTTCAAGTAGCCACTCCATCATGGCAGCATCTACTCTTTATTTCTTAAGTCTTGTGTTCATACAGTTTGTTAACATCAAAACAGTTCTGTTCCTCAAATCTTTTTTTTAAAGATACAAAATTTTCAATGCATAAGCTCGTGTGGAACAGAATGGAATTTCCTATTCAACAAAAGAGGAAAGAATGTTTTAGGAACCAGAATTCTCTGCTGCCCGTGTTTCTTCTTCAACACAAATATCATGTGCATACAAGTCTGCCCATTCCCAGGAAGAAAGAGGAGAGACCCTGAATTCTGCCCTTTTGGTGGTCAGGCATGATGGAAAGAATTTCTGCTACAGCTTGGGAAATTTGCTATGGAAAGTCTGCCAGTCAACTTCACCCTTCTAACCACCAGATCAGTTTGTGGCTGGTCATCTGAGGGGTGATTTCAATCACCAAGCATCGTTCTTGCCTGTTCTGGGATTATGTTGTGGAGCACTTTCCCTATCCACCACTGTTAATTCCTGAGGGGTGGAGTAAATGCAGCATACCCCTTGTCCTCAACCAGTGTTATCACAGTAAAGTTCTTTCAATTTAAGTGGAGGGTGAGAGGTGAGGAGAGACTGCGTTGGGGGCAGAGAAAAGGGGATGCTGCATCTTCTTCCTCACCTCCAGCTCTCTCACCTCAGGTTGCCTTGCTCACTGGGCTCTGCCTAACCACTTGGGCTGGTCAGTGCTGGCACACATTGCCTTCTTTTCTCATTGGGTCCAGCAATGGAGGTGAGGGTTGGGGAATTGTTTCCTCCACAATGTAGCAAATTCTCAGGAAAATACAGTCCATATCTTCCTCTCAGTTCTTCCAGTCACCAAATAACTTATGTGGCTGCTTTGTCCAGGACATAAAATGCCATGGACAGCATCTAATTAAGAGCCTACAAAACTGCTTACTGACAGTTTTGAATGTGAGAAATTTGTGTAATTTAGATGTAAGGTACAGGTTTTAATTTCTGAGTTTCTTCTATTTTTATTTTAAAAAAGAAAATTTTCAGGTTAATTGGAATAAACGAATACTTCCCATAAGAACATATATCCTGAAAATTATATTTTTGTTAACTGTAAACGACTTTTAAAGAATGGTTATTATCCTTTTCTCTGCCTGCAATCATGGGAAATCTAACATAATAACAGTTATTTATACTTTTTAAATTAATGGTACTTGCTGGATCCACACTAACATCTTTGCTAACAATCCCATTGTTTCTTCCAACTTAACTCCTACACTACAGCCTACATCCTCTTTCTAGTCTTTTATCTATAATATGCAACCTAAAATAAAAGTGGTGGTGTCTCCAGTCATTCTCCTTCTTCCTTTTTTCCCCAAGCCTGGTTTTCAAAAGGTTGGGTAACTTGGTAGCTGAGTTCCCCTGGTAGAAATAGAACTATTAGGAATATTGAAGTTGTAGGAAAGTGTGAGGCCTATCACCAGTTTTGATAGACCCTAAGTCTTATTTTTGCACAAATCAAAACTACAACCTAGTCACAGCTTCCCTTGGCCTTTATTTAAAGGTAATATAAAATTACCATAGTAGCAAAGAAAGTGACTGAATGTATTCTTGGCCAGTATCCCTCTTACCCAGGAATCTTGAATCTCCAGGATTTAGGAATGCAAATTAAGGAGATATACTTAGCAACTACATTATAGCCAAGAACTTTAAAAATACTATGAAATCTAAAATAAAGTAGAATTTTAAATTTCAAATTATAACTGATCCCACTATATATTTAAGCCTACTCACAGCAGTTAAGAGATTTTTTTCTTTCCTAAACTGTCTGTCATCGATGGGTGGTGGTAGTGCACGCCTTTAATGCAAGCAACTCGGGAGGCAGAGGCAGATGGATCTCTATGAGTTCAGGGCCCACCTGGTCCATAGAGCTAGTTGCAGGACAGCCAGTGTTAGACAAAAAACAAAAAACAAAAAAAATCTGTCATCAAAGCAAGGCCTACTGAAAACTTTATAAATTCCCAGTAAGTTGGAAAATATTCTAGTTACTAATTAGGAACAGTGTGTAGGACATTGTCTTAAAATTTTTAGAAACTGAAAAGATAAAAATGATTCATGCTTGATATGTGGCACATTGAAAGGCATTATTACCCTTTTAAATGCTTATTAACATGGCTTTGTTTTCCTTACTTAGAATTAGCAAGGAAGCCAGACTTTGTCCCTATATGCACATTAGGTCCTGCTGAGAGTTAGCGCCCTCAAGGCATGCCTTGCTGCAGGGCCACCTCAGTCCTGGAGGATGAAGCCAGCACTTAAGGAGGGAAACTTAGCATGTGAGCGGTGGAGACAAAACTCAAAAGGACAGACTTCTTCCTCTCATTTTAACATAGGTTGCTATCTCACTTGAAAAGGGAAAGTAGATTTGATAGTAAATAAAGCTGTGCCCAGAAACCAGGCTCAGGGTGTTGAGAGAAAATTTTTTTAATAGAGTATAAAATATAGAAATATTTAAACCTTCCTTCTTATTTTCTATCAAATAGCTTTTTTTTTTTCCTTATCGTTTACAAACAACATAAGTTTTGTGGGTTTTTTCCTTTTTTTTTTTAATGTTTAGACTTCAGATGATCTTGTTGAGCTCCTAAGAAAACTCAAGGAAGTCCTTGTTTGTGCAGAGCACTTTATGAGTACCTGTGTAGACGGCATGTGGCTGCTTCACTCCCGTAAGGCTGGAGCGTGCCTCCTGGCATCTGTTTTGTTTTGCTTAGGAGTGAAGTCTTTAAATGGTTTGAGATCAACTATAGAGAATTGTTTTTAAATATGTAGTACTCCTGATGGTCTTTCTCACTGTTAAGCTATACGACCCAAACTTTTGCCATTGAGATATTACTAACCTCAAAATGTATATAAGGAGTTTGTGAATAGAATATCCAATGTGATCATTTGTACTTATATGCGTCTTCAATGAAGATTCTGTGTAACAGTCAGATTCCGGTTCCTGAACAGCCCATCTCTAACTATATTTGAGGTCGGGGAGGGCATAATGAGGCATCCTAAAAGATAGTCTGATATAAACTGTATGCTAGATTTATGCTAGTATGGGAGAAAGCGTTACGTAAAGACCTAATTCAAGACTAGAGCACTGTCAACCAGAAACCTTGTAAATACTTCCTGTCTTGGTGCAGCTCCACTCCTTATGATGTCTTGTACCTGTCAGGCACTGTTAGAGCTGCTGTGTGTCCCTCTTCAGATCTCATCTGTCCCTACTGCACACCCACCTCCCAGCCTCCTGCAAACCTCAGCATCTAGCTTTAGTTGGAAACAGTTCAGGGTTCAGGTGACCTCTTCAAAAAAACTACCTCCTCAGAATGAGGTATGAATAGTTATTTATTTTAAAGTATGAAAAGTGAGGAGCTCTAGAACATGAAGATGTAGGATTTTAACTTTTATGTGTACTTGTAGTTGAGCACTCATTTTGTCCTAAAGGGCATTATACATTTAAACAGTGATACTGTTTTAAAATGTTTTTTAAGGTGTAGCTCAGAGTATCTGTTACTGGAATTGGTGCCAGTCTGTTTAATATATTTCAGAATTGTAACTAAGTCGGTCGCATGAAGTTAAATAGTTATGGTAACACTTTGATAACCATGATATAATTCTACTTTTCAGTAGTAGGCTTGGCAAAACAGTACACCTTCATAGTGAGTTGGCCACAGCTTTGTCACATGCACAGATACTCATCTAAGGAGACTGCCCAGCTAAGAGGGTAGAAGGATACCCTTTTTTCTAAGATTCTCTTCTTTGTCCAAGTTGGCCTTGTTAGTGCTAGAATGTCAGCACCTTGGCCAGCAGATGTCAACTAATAAGCTATTTGGAAAAGCACAGGCAGAGATGGAAGGTTCACTGTGAGTAGACAGCGGGTAGCTTCCAGGAGAGAGACGGTGCAAGGAGGCTCTAAAAAAATACCTTGATAATTTGCCAAATGATCTTACTGTGCCTTCATGATGCAATAAAAAAGCTAACATTTTAGCAGAAATCAGTGATTTATGAAGAGAACGGCAAGTCTGGTTTAACTCCGCTGTGATAATATTTTTTAGAGTGCAATTTAGACTGTGAAGATAAATGCACTAACGAGTTTATAGCCAAAATCACATTAAAAAATAAGAAAATGGTAAATTTTCAGTAACAAAATTATTTTTTTAAAGCACATTATCCCTAGTATAGCCAGAAATATTTACCACATAGAGCAACTAGGTTGAAAATACAGTTCAGTGACATTTCTAGAGAAACTTTTTCTACTCCCTTAGGCTCTTCAAAGCATGGAACTTTTATACTAAATGTTTGACATTTTAAGATACTGCTGTAGTTTAGTGTTGAAGTAGTGTGTGCTGGGCAGCAATCATATACTAACTCAGTGAGAAAAAACAAATTGTAGATTTGATTTGTTTCCAGAGAAATGCTGCCAACCTAGACACTGAGTTTTCAGAGTTTAAAGTGTAAATTTGCCTCCCAAGACCTGTTTGCAAGTGAAGTTGGCTAGTGCTACTGACTGCTCTGGTGCATGGTGGTAGACAGAGGGCTGCCTCTGAAGTGTGTTTTTATAAAGGGACATTGGAAGTGAAGACCTGACCGGTGTGTATAAGCTGGACACCTATGCTGTGGCAATTGCATCTTTCCTCACCATCCCCAAGAAACTCAGTGTACTTTCCCCACTGTGTCCCAGTTGTTGACTCAGAAACTGAGGTGAATGACTGATGCTCGAAGGGACTGAAATGGTCAGTGTATTTGTGGTCCACATGGCCAGCTCTGGTAAAGCTGAAGATGCTGGCCAGATGGATATTGTATCAGCTCACTGGACAATAACTTCAGTAGTTTTAGATAACTTACTTTACTTCCATTTGGGCAGAGACGTTTAAATTAAAATTTAGTCCTAATTTTTATCATTTGAAAGGAAAAATTAACAGTTCCTATGAGGTACTTTTGAGGTAGAATCTGAAGTCCTAATTTTATTTTCTAATGGAGTTTGCAGCGAGGGCCTGTATGCACTAGGCAGGGGTTCTACCACTGAGCCACATTTCCCAGCATGTAAAATGTTAACACTTAACACTTACACACACACACACACACATCTTGTTACCACCTTAGTAAAGTGATAAAGGTGGACCCTTTATTTTAGTCTCCACAAGTCTAGCTGTCCCCTTTATTGATTGCTCCATCAGTATCACTAAACTGTTTACTTTTATTTAGCTGTTTTGACTAATTGCAGTGATATAACCAGTTGTGCATGAGGACAACAGCCAGTGTGTTGTTTTTTTGTGGTGCATTTTTTGTAAAGAATTCTGTAGATTGAAGTGCTCTTTGGAAACAGAACTGAAATATATTTGTTCTTGTTAGTATCAAAAAACATTTTGTGCAAATCATTTGCTTTTCCTGGCAGGCTGACTACATTATCCAACACCCATGATTGCTGATTACCATCAACAGTGTACACACGGGAGACAGAGGGAAAGCATGGAAGGGTGTGCTTACAGAGCTGGAATGTGGGTTAGGAGTGAGTTACTTAGTCCTTTTTTGCCTTGAAAATTTCTGTTGTTTTGAGATGTTTGAACCCATATGTGTTTGGCTGGGCTATGAGTTACATAGGAAGAAACTGCAAACTAGCATAAGCAAACAAAGCTCACAGACTAGACACAAATGGGGGGGGAAAAGGGACCAAAATGAGGTGGGATGACACTTAAATGTAGGGCTTATGAAAAAAGTAAGGGTGGAAGATGAACTACAATCACCTGAAATACATGTAAGAGTGCAATAAGTGTGCTTCTTATCTAAGCTGTGAACTTTTTTAAATCATTCCTTTCTAATACATTCATGTATGTTCCATTGCTGACTAAAACCAGCTGTGTGAACATCTGCCTTTTTTTCATGTTAGTTACCAATATAAGTGGCTAACCTTGATGTCTTATTTATCTTCGTGTTGTATTAGTTTACATACCAGGTATGTGTCTGTATACTGTACTCTTCTCCCTTTATTTGAAAACTTTTCACTGGGTCATTTCCTTTGGCCATCCTACAATACAGCTTTGGTTTGGCTTCCCCGTCACCCTATTTGAAGGACTGTGTCCCAGTAGCAGAATACCCCCATTGTCGGGTGTACTTCTGATCCTTTGCGTCTACAGCACTTGCCTCTCCTAAGATAGTGATACAACCAACTGATTGGGGATGGACTTCACCATTCATCATGTCTCTTCGATTCTATTTAATAGACCACTCTTTGGCTTTAGACCAGGAAAAAGGAGACAACTCTAGCCATCTACCAAGCCTCACCCTCAAAGGTCATACATACTTCTTGGTCTGAGGACAAGTCTCCAATAAGGGAGAGGGGAGGGAAATGTTTCATGTTTGAACTGCAGTGAAGTACGGCTCCTGTTTCACCACCTGAACCTATGGCAACTCATACACATTCCTCTGTCTATAACTGCCAAAGGTTTGGGTTTATGTCACTTCAGTTCCACTCAAGCACTGAAAAGGTTCTCATGGAGTCTGGGGTGTGCCCAGTGAAAAGATGGGGACTTTTTCATTATCCACAGACCTCTCTCTACCTGCTTTGCAAAAATTATAATGGAGTAACTATTTTTAAAGCTTATTTTTCAATTCATAAGAAAAAGACATTTATTTTCAATCAAATGGATGATGTCTCCCTCTTATCCCTTATTCCTTAATGTTTGCTTGAATTTTTTTTTTCTTACCTATACCTACTTCCTAATTATTTAGTTATTTTTCCTGCTCAGGTCCCTTCATTTGTACTTTGGAGTTTTTCTCATGTAAATTTGTATAATGGAAAATATTGTTCAGTTTGGATAGAAAGCATGGAGAATTAAATAAAAAAGATAGCTGAAAATCAAATTGAAGAAATTTATTTCTGTGTAAAGTTATTTAAAAACTGTATTATAAAAAAGCCCCCCCCCCCAAATAAAAAAGTGCTATGTAATTGATGTGAATATGCGAATACTGCTATAATAAAGATTGACTGCATGGAGAAACCTTAAGATTCTTTTTCTAGCACTGACATCCAATAATAGTAGTCACTGGCTGTTAACAGTCATTTCCAGGCTAAACACTTCAATAATTCTGATGGCTGCTTGATGGGTAGAAGTTAAAGTTGGCCAGATTCCTGCATGGTCTAGCCACCTTGAGAGTCTTTTTATCGAGTTTCAGTGAAGACCCTCAAATATTTAACAGTTTTGTGACCTTATGCATCTTTGGTTTAAAGTGACCATTCTCAATGTAACCACACAGTTTAAGGTCTAATTTCAAATTTTGAAGCAAAATGATGTGTAGAAGTCATCTCAGAACTTGGGGGGGGAGGGGGGCGTGGACAAACAAACAAACCTGTATCTGGCCTGTGCTATAATTTGCTATTCATTCCCATTATGTTACCATCGAACAAATGCTACACTTAATGTTTCTTTGGGACCCTCTGCTACTTAAATGCTTTCTCACATTCTATACAGCCATGTAGAAGGCATTTCTTTGAGCAGGTTGGGAGTTTTCAACATGGAAATGAGGATTCCAACACTTTTAAAGAAAAGAATATAAAGTTAGCTGTTAAGCAACTCTTTGCTTGTAAGGAAAAGAACTAGTGGAATTATCCTGCTTAAACTCCATGTTGTAGACTCTATTCTAAGCAGCTTTACTGACCTAAGGAGTGAGTGGATACAGGCCTTTGTATTGATTAAGCTGGTCCCTCACACAGAGGGGAAGACACAGCCCCATGGACATGCTCCCAGTGCCACAGGTGGGACCGCTGTGGCTGCCAGTGAGGAAAGGAGCTGTTCCACTTGTTTTAGCCTCTGCTGCTACAGTGATCTCTGTGGCAAGGCAGTAGATAACTGTTAGAGGAAACCCTGTTATGCTACAAGTTGGTCGGGGATACTTAATGACAAACCCAAGTTTACAACCATTACCATCTAGTCCTGTCCTCTCTCAAGCAGAACCTGATGTCCCTTTAGACCTTGGTGAGTCATCTTGTTCCTAAACTCACTTTCTATAGACCCTACTTAGCAAAGCTAAACCACCATTAGGTATGGTCTCCACAGACAGTGTTTGAATGCTTGGCCCTTAAGGAGTGGCACTATTAGGGGTGGCGATGTTAGAGGAAGTGTGTCACTCTGGGGTCGGGCTTTGAGGTCTATGCAAAAGCAACACTCAGTGAGGCACTCCGCCTCCTGCTGCCTACGGATCAAGATGCAGAACTCTCAGCTCCTCCAGCACCATATCTGCTTGTACGCTGCTGTGTTCCCTACCCTGATGATAGTGGATTAAACCACTGAAACTAAGCCAGCCCCAATGAAATATAATTGCCTTGGGAGCTGGAGAGGTGACTCAGCGGTTAAGAGCACTGACTGTTCTTCCAAAGGTCCTGAGTTCTATGCCCAGCAACCACATGGTGGCTCATAACCATCTATAATGAGATCTGGTGCCCTCTTCTGACCTGCTGGCATATGTACATGCAGAATACTGTATAAATAATAAATCTTTTTTAAAAAATTGCCTTGGTCATGGTGTTCGTTCACAGCTCTGAGCAAATGTGATTACTGACTTGTCATTTTCTTCTTAAAGTCAAAACAAAATCCTGAGCTAGGTCTCACTCTGTACCCCAGGCTGTCTTCCAACGATCCTCTGGCCTCACTCTCCACAGGCTAAAATTACAGGTGTGCAACCCCCTGTCCCCAACCTCTAATCAAGGCCAAAACCGTCAAAAACCTAATGAGTAGTCCTCAAGCTACAATACCAGACTTTTCTCTGTGGATGGAGGAAAATTCTTTGTCATATGTGATATCATGTCATTTGTGATATGACACCACACAAAGTGAAAAAGTATTTTGGAGCAAATTTTTGGGAAAAATAGAAAATCTTACCCTTATTCCCATTACTAAGAAATTCCTAGTCAGGTGTGGTTTGAGTCCTACAAGAGGCCATAAAAAAGTCTACAAGAGATGGAAACAGTGGACTCTCCTGACCCTTAACCAAACAATCAAGCTGCAGCAGCTACATGGTCATATCTCCTGTGAGCCAACATGTGACTAAGGCATGAGCTAAGTAGGAGAGATGGTACTTATATTATGTATAAGCTTTGGAGTCACACATACCCTAACCACTCACCAGTGTGTGATGCTAAGCAAGACACTTTCTCCTTGTTCCTTGGTAGCCTCAAAGAAAGAGCAACTAACTACATCATAGGGAACCCAAGAGGATCAGCTGTAAGGGGACAAACAACTTAGCCCAGCAAGCAGAGTAGGAAATGAAGGACAGTGGTCATCAGAAAATTTTTGGCAAGCCATTTTAATTTACAACTTCTAATATGAAGTCTGTGATTTCTGGAAACATCTCACCTGGCTCCTGTAGGAAAAGAAAATCAAGTTAAGAACTACTATATTTACTAGTCCAAATCCATAATCTTGCTTAGCTAATTATTCAAGCATTTTTTCGAGCCCTGAGTAGCCTCTCTACTCCATTCATCTTCACATTTGAACAGTGAGAGTAGGGCATGCTTTTACAGCTACATACCATAAACTACTGTAACTCACCACTATGTTCCAGAAACAAGCACAGACTGGTTTTTGTTGGCTTGGTTTTCTTTTTGAAGACAGTTTCTCTGTGTACCCCTGACTGTCCTGGAACTCACTCTGCAGACTGGTGGGAACTCAAATATCCACCTGCCTCTGCCTCCCAGTGGCTGCTGGACCACCCAGCTGTTTTTTGAGGCAGGATCTTATCTAGCTCAGGCTGGCCCCAACTCCCTCTGCAGTGTTGTTTGATCCTCTTGCTTCCACCTCCCAAGTGCTGGAATTACAGGAATGGACCAACAAGCCAGGCCTTTCTGTTTGTTGCACTTTATTTCGTGCTGGCAACTGAACCCAGGGCCCTGCCTGAGCAGAATTCACCTGTCTTCTTCCATGGGTGGATAGCACCCAAAAACTGTAACCTAACTTTAAAAATACTTTTTGTTTTTAATATACAATGAAAAGAAAATAAAAGATGGCACAGGCTAGCAAATGGCACACAGCTAGGCAGAAATGGACGATGTGCTTCATGCTGTTAGGATATGCTTAAGGCCATAAAGAGTTTAAAACAAGTCAGAATTTAAAAAGACCTTAGCCAGGCACAGTGGCACATGCCTGAAATCTCAGCACTCAGAGAGGCAGGTGGATCTCTCTGAGTTCGAGGACAGCCTAGTCTACAAAGTGAGTCCAAGACAGCCAAGGCTACACTGAGAAAACCTGTCTCAAAAAAAAAAAAAAACACCAAAATAAAGCTGGGGGTTGGTGTCACATGCCTTTAATCCCAGCACTTGGGAGGCAGAGGGATCTCTGTGAGTTCAAGGCCAGCTTGGTCTACAGGGTGAACTCCCGGGCAGCCAGGCTGTTACACAGAGAAACCCTGTCCTCAAAAAATAAAAATAGACAAATAGAAACAAGACCTTAGTGTGTGAAGAGATGGCTCCACAGTCAAGAGCACTGGCTGCTCTTCTAGACCTAGGTGCAATTCCCAGCATCCACATAACTAACTATACTCCAGTCCCAGAGCATTTGGCTCCCTCATATAGACGACATACATGCAGGGAAAACATCAATGCACATAAAATAAGTGAATCTTTAAAACAAAAAGACTTTAGGGCAAACCTACTTGTACTTGTTTACTCTTTTAGTCTTCATCATCAGGAGGGATGCCTAATTCTTCATCTGTCCACTGTGAAGGATCTGGATATGGAAAGTGACCCTGTGACAATCAATCAATCAGAAAAAAAGTCAAGAGTTCATACCCATAAATGCAACTAATGAAGTTTCAAAATAAATCTTGAAACAAGAATAAACTGTAATTACTACAGCCAGTACCTGCCATACATAGATGAGAACTGGTCATTCCTTAACCATTCAGTAATTCAAACCCATTCCCATCCACTCATTACATACAATGGCTTGACTTTTTTAGAGGTAGAAACCTAAGCCATTAAGTATGTTTATGATGGAGTGAAGGAAGAAGTGGAGGCCACAGATGTCATATCTACTTATCTCCGCAATATCTCACTGTGTTGGCAAAGCAAATGTTTAAAAAAAAAAAAAAAACTTCACTCCTGCCTTGAGATTTGGGAGCCTCAAGTGGAGGCAGTCTCCTCAGTCCTGACCTAGAGACCTGTCTGTACTGCCTACAGCCTAATACACCTGACCTATAATGAAATAGACTGTCCCAGCAGGAAATGTGCAGCCAAGCAGCAAGGACACAGAGAAAATGCTAAGAGGACAGAAGAAGAGCACCCTACCAGCTCTGACCTGTAAAACCTTGTGTACTGTTTTTGTTTACATTTCCTTTTTAATGCACAGCTCATCCCAGACGGTCAGAGGACCGTCAGTTTGTGGGAGTCTGTTCTCTTTGCAGTTCCGGGAATGGAGCTCAGGTTGTCACGCTTGACCAAGGTGCTTTTACTTGCTGAGCCATATTGCCAGCTGAAGACTGGAGTCCTAGGGGACTCTTGTTAGACACATGCTCACCCATCAACCTCAAGATTTCAAGGTCTTAAGGAGGTAATTTCTTAGAAAACAAGAGTCTATGTAAATGTGACAAGCAAAAGAATAACAAAGTCACCAATAACTCTCCTTCTCAAGACAAATTCACTTCTATCTAGTACACCCAATTCTGGTTGCTCTAGGCCTCAGGACAGACTAGAGGATGTTAAAAGAACTTAATGCTGGCTATGGTGGTGCCTCCTTAGTGCTTAAAAGGCAGGGATAGGAGGACTGGAAATTAAGGGCCACTCCTACCTATACGGAAAGTGAGGACAGCCTGGGCTACATAATACCTATCTGAAACAAAAAATTTAAGTGTGAAACAACCCACAAATGAAGACAAATGTAATTTAATGATCATAAAAGAATTATTTCTAGTCCCACTTTTCCACATGGCAACCTAATATGAACCACAAATCACAGATCCCCGAAATGTACATCATGTATGTAGATCCAAAAGTGACAAGCTTACTGAGGTAACAACACGGTGTTAAGGGGATATAACTGGACAACATCGCTAAACACAGGCCAAGTACCCATGCATCTCCCCTTCTCTGCTCTCAAAGCAGGACTAGACCATTCTTCTGTACTTACCAGCACAGAATCCGAGTCATGCCAAAAGCGCCAGAGAATCCAGAACCACATGAGGGAGCTTAAGAACTCACCCTGGATCACCTGGGACCGGGTAAGTTGGGGGAACTCCCTGTACCGTGGCTGAATATGCACATCGCCGCCAGCACTAGGAGACAAAGCAATATAGAAAATGGCTTCTTACTCTATTTTCAGAGCAGGAAGTCATCTCAACTTTCAGTAGCATCCTTAAAACTGAAACATCCTTAAAACTCCTCTCCAAAATACAGACTGGCAGGCTCTCACTTCCTTTACATGCTGGTTTTTCATTTAGCTTGCTTTAAACACAGGAAGAGGAAAACTGGTTGAATAGACAAGAGGCCAATGTTATCGTTTCATTTAGTGAATAGTCACCATTCTGCACCAGAAATATTAGTGATGATTACGGAGTGCTGCCCCAGAAGTTTTATCTGAGTGTCTGTGAACCTGATGTAGTTATCAACTTACTCTGCTCAGGCAGTGTGCATCCTGGGCCCTGGTACAGTCTTCATCCAAAGGCTATCTTACAGAAACTAAGCACTGCTTAGTCTCTAGTCCCTCATTTGGCCAGAAAGGGAACTTGGGAGCATCTTTTTTGAAACTCTAATACCCCTGAACAAAGCAGAGAGCTTCAACAATAAGACTGAATAAAATGAGCTGGTGTCGCCAGGCAGTGGTGGCCTTTAATACCAACACTTGGGTGGCAGGTGGATCTCAGTTTGAGGCCAGCCTGGTCTATAAAGGTGAGTCCAGGAGAGCCAAGGCTCCACACAAAGAAACCCTGTCTCCAGAAAAAAAAAAAAAAAAAAAATCAGCTGATGTTATTTAGCCGTTTATTGGCAAATTGTGGCATACACTCTGTAAGGGCTATACTTACTCAACTGGGACTCTGATAAGTATAGGTACGGGTTGACTGATTTAAATGATAAAATTTATACTTAATGAGGATATTTATATGACCTATTCTGCAACAAAACATACGCCAATACGCAGCATCAGATATTAAAAAATATTAGAGTGTGCCTATATAAAATATGGTCTACAATTTCAGCCCAGCATAGCAAAAATTTCCTATAGGTTCATATAAACTTTGTTAAACAGCACTATTCCTATGGTTCTTCCCTACCTCTGCCTTCTTTTTCTCCTAGCAGAACACCAAGAGTCTTGCTCTATCCCTCTCTACCTCATTCCCTTGAGATGGAATCTCCCACTGAACCCGGGGCTGGGATGGGGGCTGGGACGGTGTTTGTCGAGAGGGGAGAGAGGGAGAGGGAGAGAGAGAGAGAGAGAAGAAAAAAGAGGAAGAAAGAAAGAGAAAGAAAGAAGACAGTCAGACCAAACTGAGACCGAGTCTTAAAATTTTCCGGTGGCGAGAAGGAAAAAATGAATAAGAAACAGCCTCCAATTTAGGCCTTAAAGTGCCAAATTTAAACACCGGCGTGGGGGCGCGTGTCTTTGATCCAGTACTCCGGAGGCAAAGGCAGGAAGGATTTCTATGAGTTCGAGGCCAGTATGATCTAAAGTTCTACGCTAGTCAAGGCTACATAGTGAGGCTCCAAAAAAGTGTCAAAATTTAAAAGCAAAATAACAAACTTAACCACCTAAAGGTCTCCCGTGGGTGCCCAGGTCAATTAGGGGAAATCCTCTGCCCTCCCAGGCACTCCCTGACCCGAACCATCTAAAACATTCTTCTCAAAAGCCATCTTCAACCGTCTCCAAGCGCTCCTGGCCTCCACTCGCCAGTATGGGAAGACTCAGCAAGGGAACAGTGCGCTGCTGGGTTCTCATCACTCAGGTCCTAGTTAACGCCTCTCTCTGGCATTCCTGCGCTAACCCATCACCTCTACCCCACTGATTCGGCTAAAGCCACCGGCTCGGACCAGGGGGACTACAATACCCAGCATGCCTGCCCCCCTGCGGCAGCGTACGGCTCACGCACCCGCCCGGGCGCCTGCCTCAAGGTGACGGCGTCCGAACAGCACGGCTGGCTGTTCGAGCCGGCCGAGCCTTGGCTCCCACCCGACACTCACTGACGGACTCCACCGTCTCCAATCGCCCGCGCGCGGCAGCCCCGGAGCAGGCGGCCTCCGACACGACCGAAAGGTGCCAGCCGCGTCAGTGCAGACATACTAGCCGAGCACTGAGAGCACGTCCCCAGCTCGCCCACCCCGATGCGTCACTTCCCCGAGTCCCGCCCCGTGACGTCACTGCGCCGCGCGTCTCTGCTGGGGCCGGTGGTAGGCCACAAGGGACAGGTTCAGGCCACTTGGCGGACTTTGGAGGCCCCCGGACTAACGAGCAGATAGGCCATTCTTCGCGAGGACCTCGGGCTGTCTCGTGATGCAGCCTGCAAGGTGCTTCTGGCCGCCCTTGCTGCTGCGCCCCGCTTTAGCTCCTTTGCTTTCATGCTTGTTTCTGCCGCTGCGGGTCCTGTGCTAATGGCCTAAGTCCTTTCTGAACCATGCGATGCTAGCCGGCAGCCGGAATGTTAAATCCGGTGGAGTCAGAATCACCTGAGGAACCCAACGCTGTACACTCAGGAAAGTAGGGCCAGGAATATGGGTGAAAGTTCCTAAGGCCTTGATCCTTAGCCAGCACCGGGTTCTTAGTTTTGTCTGTTGGTGTCGATATTATTGTAATAAGCAAGGACGAGGAGAAGAGGGCCGCAGGGTTAAGACGAGTGACCTCCAAGATGCCAGCAAATCTGAGAACTGACCTCAGTCATAATAATGTGCTCGCAGTGGGATCAGTAGCACAAACAAACACATTTCGAACAATGTGTAGAAACACGTAGACCCACAGATGGGCTCAGCCTTCTTTTGCTGGGCTGGGGAACATGAGTTTTCGAGCTCATTCCCATAAACAAGACATGCATTTCTGTTCTGAGTTACCAAGTCTATATATAGGATAGCCTGCTGTCGTCTCTCTGAGTAACTTTAATTCTTTCACTTTTCTTTTCCTTCAAGAAACAAAGGATCCCCTTGCTATTAAAATAATCCTTCCTCAGCCTGTTTTATTCTCTCAATATTGCCTCTGTCCAAACCTGGATAGACTGCAAACCTCTGTGACTCACTCCTAACAACCCCAAATTGTTTGAGGTTGTGAGAAATGGGATTTTTCTATAAAAGGTGGCCAGCACACCAATACTCCACAACTCTTCACCTTGTAAAATTGTTATTAAAATCTTTTCATCGTCTGGAAAACCTGCTTACATAAAGGGAAATTGATAACAGAGAGCTACTGACCCCTTCCCTCCTTCCTTTCCATCTACTAGGAATTCTCCAACCATGGCAGAATGTGAGGTTGATCTCTCACCAACAGAATGAAACACAGCCCTCACCTGTGTTAGAATAGCAAGTGCGCTTCCTGCCCAAGTGTGCTTGCAAGGCCGGTTTGGGTTTCAGCACACTTTCTTATAAAGAGGCATAGCCTTGCAGGGTTACTTTCACTGTGCTCTGGAGGGTTTGTGTTGTGTGATGCTGACAATACTGTTTCCAGCAAGATCTTCCCTGGTACATTATGGTTTGGGTTTGTCTTCAGAACATTACAGTATTAGCCTATCAATCCTACACTTTGGAAAATTGCTATGGTGATTTCATGTTCAAGAGTCAAGTACTTACCAAGGTCAGTACCTGAATTTAGTGACTTGGAAACATCAAACATGACTAATAATTTGCCTTCTTACGGGACTCTTTGCCCTTGTATATAACGGGAAACCTGTCGTAAGAGTTAAACCCAAACAGAACTCATGATTTCGAGATGAATGAATAAATTTGACTTTCCCACAAAGCCTCAAAATGTTGGTTTGTTTTGGTTTCTGGTTGGTGAGCCGAGGTAAGACCTAGCCTGAGAATGTAAACAATGATGTTAAAATTTGTTATCACGTTGTGTTTGTGTGAACACATGTACCATGACATGCATGTGGAGGTCAGAGAACAGCTCTGAGCAGTTGATTCTCTTCTTCCACCATGTGGGATACAGGCTTACGTTATTTTTATTATTATTATTATTTCTGTGTGTGTGTTTGTTCTCCGCATACACGTGGTCAGAGGAAATCTGCTGGAGCTGGTTCTCCCTTTCATGTGGGTCCCAGGGATTGAACTCAGGTCGGCAGATGTGGCTGCATACAGCTTTACTCACTCAACCTGCTCGGCTACTTCCCTGGCTTTACTGACAAGGAAGTCTTTCTTTAGCTTTACGGAACCTGCAACTGCTGAACTTCTGTTAACATCAGAAAGAGTAACACCCTTCCTTGGTTTTAGCCCTGTGCAGAAACTATCACACAGCGTGTAAATTGTTGTTAGATCTAACTTGTAGAAAATGACAAGCCTCTATTAAAATACAAGGGAGCTGGAGAGACGGCTCAGTGCTTAAGAGCATGTCCTGCTCTCTGAGGGGATCTGATTTCAACTGCCAGCACCCACATGTAACTCCAGCTCAGAGGGATGCCACCGGCTTCCGGCCTCCATGGGTACCTCTACACATTCACATACGTGTACACACACACACACTTTCTAAGAAAAGAAAACAAACAGAAAAACAAAATAAGCAAATGTATTTTGTCTTCTTCTGAAGGATATTTTTCCTAAAATAGTGTCTCTGGTACCAGTTTCAGCTTCCTTTCCTTTATACCCTAAAATAACCCAAAGTTTTTTTAAACAAACCCTGAAGCTAGGTCATGGAAAGTAGTGGTATTTCTGCCACACATCCCAAGTTTAGAGGTCTCAGCTGCCAAAGGACAGACCCTCGGGATCTGCCTTCACTGTGTGCCCAATGCCGCGGTCACAGGAAGGATGATGGCCCTTTGAGGAGGAAGGGCTTTGCTGCCTCCAGGATGTCCAGCTTGGGGTCCAGCGAGCGGCCGAGCCCTTCCAGCACCATGATGGCAAACACAATGGAGGCAAAGTTGCTCTCCAACTTTACCTGGAACAGACAAAGAGCAGTTCTTTTCAGACCTCAGGACTCAGCTGAGTGTCCTGGACAACCACGTCACTGACCCTGTGCCTCTCGTGTGCTGTTTCTGGGATTCCACCATCTCCTCACCTCCCTCCCGGGAGTCAGGAGGGTACACTAGGTCTCCTGGCAGCGCCAACAACAAGGGTACATCCCTCACCCAGGCACTGCTAACAAAAGCCAAGGAGGGCAAGGGAGGGGCTATCTGCCTGGGCCCTTTCTGTGTCTTTAAATACATTTTTCCATAGCTAAAGATTACAATACTTGGACTACATGATTGACAGATCCACAGACTTTGTTCTGGAAGGACCCTGAGCCCTCTGGGCCTGCATCAGAAGATTAAAAAGTCATAATCGCTATGCAAACAAAAGCTGAGGAAAAGAGCGTCTGTCCATTCCACTGCCCTGTGTCCTACCTCTTCCCCAGACGTCTCTCTCATGGCACCTCACCTTATGGGTCATCAGTAGCTTAAAGACACTGGACAGGAGGCTGGAAACATGAAGCTGGAAAACAAAAGATCCCAGTAAAGTCCCAGAAGCATTTCTTCCCCTTCCAGGGTCCTGTCCTTGCACACTTCTCCACCAATAACACAGGTATGCACATACTGGGCAAGGAAGGCGCTACCAACAAACAACAAAAAGGACTTTACCAGCGCAGTCCACACTCCCGCCTCAAGATACAGGTCACAAGTACCTGCAGGAGAAGCCTCAGAGCCATGTCCATCCCTTGCCATGCTCAAGAACATTCCTAAGTAAACACACTAGAATGTAGTACAGTAGCAGAGATAGAGACTTGCCCTGTATATTAGTGTGTGTGTGTGTGTGTGTGTGTGTGTGTGTGTGTGTGTGTGTGTGATTTGTAATGCGCATGATTTCTAACCATCTGAATAAACCAGGTCAGCAACACTGGTGGCCACTCCGTGCATGCCCAGTCCTGCTAGTGCAGACCATCAACTTGGCAAATCTGGAATAGTTAACAGAGTGTGAGTACAGCATGGACTCTGGGTGAGGCCATACAAGGGACACAGGCTTATGGCACATCTCTGAGATGCTGCCTCCCTCCCTGTTCCAGTGTCTCCCCAATAGCTATTCCCTGACTAAAGCAGGGGCTCTGTGATTTCAGTTGGCCCCTTGAGCTTCTTGGAAGACATGAGAACACGAAAAGTTTGGGGGTTTGTTGTTTGTTTGTTTACTTTTTACCTGCCTTAAAAAGCCTACCTCCTACTGGGCAGTGGTGGGTATAACTTTAATCCCAACACCTGGGAGGCAGAGGCAGGCAGATCTCTGAGTTCAAGGCCAGCCTGGTGTACAGAGGAAGTTCCGGGACAGCCAAGACTACACAGAGAAAGGCTGTCTCCGAAGAAGAAGAAAGAAGTAGTAGTAGTAGAAGCAGAAGAAACAGAAGAAGAAGAAACCTTCCTTGCAAGCTCCCCACAGAAAGGCACCCCACTCCCTTGAGCTCTGCCCTAGCACACAGCACCTGCCTACCTTTTCCAGTGTGATAGTGTTCTTCCTGGCCTGGGTCACCAGCAGAGCCATCTCAGCCTTGAACCTTTCCACATCCGTGCACTCATTGGCCCGAGCATGATGCAGGATGAGCTCAGCCACTCTGTGGCCCTGGATGGTACACAAGAAGAGTGGCTTGTTAGAACAGAGCGAGCACACTGCTTACTCTTGCCTCTCAGTTGCCTCTCCCTGTTTTTTCTACAGCTCAGTTCTTGTGCCGAAATCCCTTTCCACTAGGCCTTTTTAAGATTTTAAGGTCTCTGTTATGAAAATGATGCATGTAGCCTCTTTCTCCCTTTTGGGCCACACAGGGTACTTCCAGTCAGAGGAAGACTGGAGTACTTATGCTTAAGTTTCATGACCATGATGACCACTGGCCCAGTTGGAGCCACCAGGCCCTACAAGATGGGCTGGAGGGGTTGAGCTGTCTTGTTCCTGTGCTGCAGCCGTTTCTCCTGAACCCTGATCCCTGATTCCCCTCCAACCAAAGTGCCTAAGCCTCTCAGGATCTTCAGCCCTTCCTTGGTGATCACCTCAAAAATCTGTCGCCTCCCACAGCATGGCTGCAAGAACCAAGCTCTTTCTGCTGTGCTGTGACCTTTGTCCTTCATGAAAATCTAGACAGAGGAGGATGACCTCACACATATTGCATCCCAGTGTTTAAGAAGGAGGCACTAGCCAGGAGCAGTGGTGTATGCCTGTAATCCCAGAGCTTGAGAAGGCAGAGGCAGGCAGA